ACACAAGACGTAGGACCTGTGTCCCAGCCCATCTTTCTGGCTCGTATCCTAACTAGAGTGGGCAGCAGCTAAGTGCCAAATGATTCTAGGTAGGTGGTGATAACCGCAGCTTTCAGACTCAGTACCTGAAACTCACAAAGGTTAAATTACTGCCCAAGGTCACAAAAATAGGAAAAGACAAAGCTCCAGGACTGGAACCTAAGACTTTTATCTTCAAGTCAGATGCACACTTCAACAGACCTGTTTCCCTGAAGAAAACAAAGCAACAGGCGGCTTTTCTAGAACAGAGGGCGACTTCTACATCAAGCATAACTGCACGACTGTTAGCAACAGCTCTGCACACTAGAGACAAAGAGGTCAGTCTGAGTAATGGACAAGTTCCATTTTCTTCTGGCCAATTCAGTTTCATGAAACTCCAAGAACCATGACCAAAATCTAAAAAGGCCTCAAAAAATAAAACCTATTAAACAGTCTTCTTGCAGCCTAGGAAATTACTTCTTTTTGCCAATAGCCTGAAACCAGCACTAAGTTAGGATAGTAAAACTCGAGGATTACATTTTTTAAAATTCAATATATTATCTAAGTTAAACGACAATCATTGTTATCAACAATTATGCACAACTGAAATATATAGTACAATTTACTTAAAAAACATCAATTCCAGCATCAGTCTGTTGATCACTTATCACAAGAAACAATAAACACCAACCATGTGAAGTCACCCACAAAAGCAGGTAGAGAATGTAGAAAGACAATTACTGGGGACTGAGGCCGTCAAGAAACTGTAGCACAGCTATTTGAACTGGACACGCTAAAAAGAAAATACATGTCAAACTGTTAGCACAGTGAAGAACTACCAGCAGCAAGATTATAAACACAACTGGTGGAGGTATAATGTCCATTAAACCCTCATTTTTGTGCCCTATGCAGACACTCTGATGGTACATTAAGGAGCTAGGAAGAGGCCACAATCATGAAACAGGAAACAGCATCCAAAAGTATCTGTTGGTGCCAATTGCCTTTCCAAGCTGAAGACCGCTTATATATTCAGCAAGTGAAGGTAGACACTGGTTCGGTGTGAGAAAGAGAAAAGGCATCATGTTCCATCAGGTTTATGATTGCACTTTTGTGCAAAACATAACTATTAGAAAATGCTGGCCTTCAGGAAGCCTGTAATCCCACTGAAGAAACAAAAGGAACACATGTCAACAAATGTTAACATGTAATTCAAAAATGAAGCATATACAGAAACCAAGAAATAAAAGGCAAAGATCTCACAAGTTTTTGAGGAAGTGAGTTCAAGGATGACTTGAAATGAATCTACAATGACTTTAAATGAGGGAAAAGCACATGTCAGGCTGGTATCAGTAAGAACCTGATTCAAGATGAAAGGCAAGTGGCAGGCTTTTTCAACTGGACTCCATCAAATGACCTCAGCAAACAGGGAAAAATAAAGGGGACAATTGGTATCACATTTGCTCAAAAAGTTCCACATCTATCCACTTAAAAAGAACTTAAAAGAAAAAAAATCCCTGCATTCACTAAAGAATACAGATCAAGATACAGTAATGTTTTAACTGCTGTGTCTGATAATAGAAAGTCAATTTCATAAGAGCCACAAGTCAGAATAGGTAACACAAATTTTGTTAATTAGGAAATTTGAAGTTTCCCAACAGAACTAATAAATTTACTCAGTAGACTGTATTGTGAAAAAATTATCTATCATGCAGAAGAAAAAAAATACTTTAACAGGTAGAAAATGGGCCCATGTTCTACTACCAATTCAGCAGCCAAGCGTTATACTTCCTATCTTTAACTTATCTGACATCACAGCCCCTCCACTGTCACCACCTGCCCCCCATTATCACCACTTGCTGAGATGTTATTTTTTTATGACCTCAAAATGGCTAATGTAATTTTCTGAAATTTGTGGTATCTTCCATTTTTCTAGCAGCTTATAGTTTTCAACAGCCCCTTTCCACCCAGAGGTGAGATAAGGATGACCATCCCCATTTTACAGAAATGGAGTCCAGACAGAGCCAGCGAATAGCCCAAGGTCACAGACTAACTGTAAATACCCAGGCCAGTGAAGTACCTTCTTTGCTAGATGATGAACAGAAAACCTTATCTGTAACAGTCATCTTTAAAAAATGGCAAGTAAGCATCACTTGACTAAATGAAAGCATTGATTTTTACCCTGGTCTCAATGATGTCCATTTTTAAAGTATAATTATTTTAACAATTTCACACCTTCTGGAACTGCCAAGCTTGTTTTAAAACTTTCAGAAAGTAAATGGCAAACTAAAAACAAAAGCCTGTTCAAGGACACATACTAAATAGTAAATGTCAGCTGAGTAGGCTTAAAAACCACTCAGATTCCTGCAAACCTGGGGGGCAAATGGAAACAACCATCCTTGTAATCACAGTCCTTCCACTCACAGTCCTTCCATTCTTGTGGATGTCGGCGCTTTCACAGAAAGGCAGATGTGGACAAAGCCATCAAGCCCCACCATGTAAACGCGCTGTCTCCAGCTTAAAATCAATGAAGGTAACTCCCCAAACAACCTCACACTGATGACAGACAACCCACACTAGTTCACTATTTCTAGGGCTGAACATGGAGCAGAGAATCTGAAAATTAGAAATTCCTGTTTACTGAAATTTCACTTAATATGGAGCTCCTTGCATGCTGTAATTATGAAAATAAGCCTCCATAAAGCCCCCTGCAAATCATTGTCCCTAGCCCGCTGACAGTTCCACTCCTTCGGCCAAACTGCCTCCCTCCCCCGGCTGGAAACAGGACACACAGGCCGCACATATAGGCCTCTGGCCTTTTACTCCAACAACTAGGACCTTTGTTCCCAGGGTCGGTTTTTTACCCCACTCAATAGCTCTTTCAACTTCTTACCCCTATTTTTGTTTTGTTTTGTTTTGTTTTTAGTGTGGACATGGCAGAGACCCCAACTTTCCCGGCCTTTCAAAAATGAAATGCCAAATATACCTAAGGAGCAACTGACGAGGAATAGAAAGTTTAAACACACCATTAAGGGGCCTACAAAACCAAGTCAAGCCCGGGGATCTGGTGATTTGGCAGCCCAAACAAGCTCGGGGAATGCCGACCAGGAAGGGAGACAGCAGGGGACAGTTACTCGCCCACTGAGAACAGCCCTCTGCCACAAAATCTCCCACCCCACACCCCCAACGTTTACACTGACTCAGCCCCCTCCCCTCCATTAACCAAGAAGTAGTCATTAAACAGACACCCACCGCCGCCGCCGCCCCCCCCCCCCCCCCCCCCCCAATGTATGAGGGCATTAAGAAACAAACGGGTCTGTCCCGAGGGTTCAGGAGGTGCCCAGGGCGTCAGGGGCTCACCACCCCAGGGTCACTGGCTCCCTCCCAGGCCCCAGCTGGAGTTCAAAGGGGCACGTTCTCGGCCCCCTCCCCCACTCGCTCGTGTTTTTAAATCCTTCTTTTCCCTCCTGGGCAAATTGGGGATTGCGCCTCTTTGGAAAGACCTAGTCGCCCGGAGGAAGGCTGGACTGAGGCTTTTACAACCCCCGAGCAGTGAAGTCCCCTCTAACTTGTTTCTCAACTGGAATCCCACTCGCGATGGAGAGGGCTGGAGGACGGCGGGTGAACTGAATGGACGTTGTCATGGGTTTTATGTAATCCACATATAAATAACCGCCTGACTCGCTTTGAATGCTAACACGGCTGGAGTGACAACCCGCTGGCCCCCGGGGCCTGAACTCCCTCCCCTCAATTTCCAGTGGGGTGTAAAGGGGAGGATGCTCCGTGCTCCCCTCGGCCAAGTTCCTCGGCCTCTCCACGCCCCCTGCACCCTCCTCCCGTCGCCCTCCCGCCTCAGCCTCAACTTCCCCCGACGGCAAACAGCGACCCCGTGCAGACCCCCCGCCCGGCCTCAACCGTCCCCCCGGGCCGGGAACCCCTTACTGCGGTCTAAAGTCACTCCGGCCTCTCCCTCCTCTGACCCTCGCTTCCCACAACTGTTGTCACTCGAGCTGCTCCCTAGTTTCCATTTCCGGGCCGGCCCCGGCACCAGAGCCTCCCCTCTCCTGGTTTCCGGGCCCCCCATCCCATTTCCGGGGAACCCTGACCGTCTTCACACCCCCCACCTGCACTTCCGGCCCCCCACTTTCTCTCTTCCTAGACGCCCTCCAAGCTCCCTGGCCCACTTCCGGCCCCCCCGACCCCCGCCGGCTCCCCGAGACCCGCACACCTCACCCCGCTGGAGTGAAGGGCCCTCCTCATCGCGGGGGGCCGGCGGGGGG